CCAATAAAAATAAAATAAAAATCTTTAAAAAAAAAAGGCAAAATTTACATTTTGACAGAGAGAGAGATTTTCCGTTTGCTGATTCACTCCTCACCTGGCACCTTCTGCCAGAGCTGGGGCTGTTTAAAGCCGGGGCCAGGAGCTTCTGCCACATCAGTGCTGAGGCCTGGGCACTCAGGCCACCTTCTGCTGCTTCCCAGGCTCGTTTCCAGGGAGCTCGACCAGGCGTGGAGCAGCCAGGACTTGACCAGGGCACACAGAGGATGCTGGCATCCCAGATGGCGGCTATACTTGCTGTTTCACGATAGAGGCCCTGATTTTTAGACCTTTGTCTGCATTATTTTTGCCTTGAGACAGATATGATCAAATATTTTGGGTCAAAAAACAAGCCCAGAATCATGAAATTACTTGGAAAAGACAAAATATTTAAATTACTGGCTACCTCACTTTTTATTTAGAGTTTTGGTAGCAAGGCTTCTCCCAGTGCTGTTGACGTGTGAGTGTTTGTGCCTCTGGTCTTCCTTGTGGTAGTCTAAACTGGCTCAGGGAATATTGATACTAATCTAGAAGTTGACAGAATTAGGACTTCCAGCTGAAATAACTGCAGGAATTACAAGATGAAGAAAAAACACTTCATGCAAAACAATACAAGCATACTGAATTGATCTTTCTTAAACTACAATCACTGGAATTGACAATGTGCTAGAAGCTGTTCTAAGAGTGCAAGTGCATATTTGCATTTAATTATTTGTACTTGACAAAAATTCTTTTCAAAAAAAACACTATAATTTATTTGGAAAAGTTAGAGAGCAGCAGAAGAAACAGGAAAGCGAATGAAAATGATTTTTTTTTTTCTAGTTTGCTTCACAAGTGGCTGCAATGTCCAGGCCCGCGCCAGGGCCAGGATGCCAGAAGCTTCTTCCAGGTCTCCTATTTGGGTTTTGGGGATTCATGCACTTGGGCCATATTCTGCTGCTTTTTCCTGGCCAGTAGCAAGCAACTGGATCAGAAGTGGGGTAACTGGTATCCATGTGGAATACTGGCATGGCAGATGGTGGCGCTACCAGCTACACTTCAGCAGACCCACTTCTGATTATTTAAAGATAATGCTACACTCATTTGCATGAATAAACTCAGAGCCAGAGAAACAGAGAGAGCTCCTATCCACTAGTTCATTCGCCCAGTGTCCACAATGGCAAGGACTAGGCTAGGTGCGGACCTAGAGGCTAGGAATATAATCCAGGACTCCCACCCAGGTTGCATGTACTTAATCACTCAAGCTATAGCTGTTACCTCCCAGGGTCTAGTCTGGAGCTAGATTTAGGAATGGGAGCAAGGAATAGAAATCAGGAACTCTGGGATTCAGGTGACTTAAACACTGGGCCAAATTTCCAAACCTCAGTCATTTGTTTGAGCTACAACAAAATCACAAAAGTTTTAATGCAGTGGTAAGCTCAACATCTTGCGTTAACATCTGCAATCGTAATAACCAGGCATTCACCGAGTATAAATCTCAGCATGCTAGCTAAAATGATTTTTAAAATGTAAGTGTAGAGTCTGGTTATCTAATCTTGGGTAGTTATGGCTTTTATACTTCTTTCACAACTATTTAATCCCTAACCAAAACTGTTTTATTTTTCTGTCTTTATTTATCTTCTTGTGTTATCCATTCAGTGCGTATTGCTATAAAAAGCTAAGATCGTATTTCCCTGGGTGTTAAGGTTTCATGTCCTTAGAAATATGACTGTGTCATGGCCCCTGTACTTCCATTAATTCAGACAAGAAACTCATCTTCCCTAAATCCAGCTGGAATAATTTCTCTGAAATGTAGTCTGCTTTTGTATCATAAGTGTTCTCATTATCATGCTAATTTTGCATACTTATCCTTTATCTTTTTGATTTATACAGATCTAATATACGCTGTCTCTGTTTATGTTCCATCCTTATGATCAAATCATTTGTGGGAGTAACTCCAAGGTAGACATTTCTCATGTCAGCAACTATTTGTTTGTTGCTTATATTCATTTTTGGAGACCAACTTAGTATGTTCAATATGGCTAGCTTATGTGCAAATTTAATAAATTGTTAATTAAGCATATGCAATCAGTGCAATAAATCTGGGCTCTTTCTACCGTAGGATGACAACCTCATTCTCTTCCCTGTGACTGATCACCCACCTGTTTCTGATCAATTTTCTTGCTAATGTAGCTCATTTTCCCCTCCCTTAATCTAGCAGCAGAAGGGGCGCTCGTGTCCTGAGTGTAATTTATTTCTTAGAAATGCCTATACTGTTTTTCCAATCATTTGTGAAAAAACAACAAAACATTTTGAAATGCACTTAAAGATGAATTACAAGACAGTTAAAAGGATGTTAGGTTATAAATAGTATGGCCTTTTAAATACCGATATCTGGACAAGGGGGCTATTTATGCCCAAGCTCTCAACAGTTGCATAGGTGTGAGCCTGCTTACCTCAAGGCTAAAAGACATGACTGGATAAAATTGAGAAATTTCTTCAACCTATTGTTCGATCCAATTATTCCAGTAATTAATCAAAAAACAATGATATGCTTTTCTATTATTTACTTTCTGATAGCACTTTCTTAATGTTTAAAATTGTGCCCAAAAGTATTTGGTTTGTGAATTTCCCTTCTTCAGTTTTCCTTGTGTATAGTAGAACTTCTTTTTAATGTGGTCATTTGAACTCTGCCAAGTTATTTTATGAACATTTTTTCTGCGAAATCTTAGGTCTGGGATGAAATTCAGCTTATGTGACATTTCCATACACAGTTCAAATGTTGGTCCTCAGAAGGGGAGACTCACTGTAAGAGATGAAAACGTCGTGCTCAGTTTATGGACTCCACTCTGTGTTATTTTAGGTATTCTTTTGAAGTGCAGTGGCTGCTGTCCAGAATTGCATAAGTAGATAATCTTCATAATCACTGTATGCACTGCACCCCTATGAATATATTTCATCAGAGAAGGCAGGGGCTACTGTGTGTCAGTCAGTATCACATCCTTTGTATATGTGCCTTCGCATTCATAAAACCATCTTGTGAAATGACCATTGTCAGTGTTCAAGCTCATATTGCTTGTACATGAGAGATTTTACTTAAAGCCAAATGTTTTATAACAAATTGCATGGATCCACAAGATTCCGTTTTTGTTTCTTTAGTTTTTACTATAAAGAAATGCTAGTCTTGGGAATTAGAGAAAAGATAATGAATTGTGTCTAAAATGTATGACATCAAATACCCTTTATCCATAGAGGAAAAAGAGGAGGGTGTCAAAATTACAGTAAAATATTTTTTTTAAATGAAAGCAAAGAAAAAACTGGGAAGTGGTGCCGATTTTATATTATTTTTTCTTGCACTGACAGATGTGCTTTTTCTAGTACCTAGTATTATACTTCCATGATGCCATCTCTCTAAAACCATGCAGGATTATTTTCTTAAAGACAAATTATTTTGAGCCTGGTGCAGTAGTCTAGCGGTAAAAGTTGTCTCCTTGCATGCGCCAAGATCTCATATGGGTGCCAGTTCGTGCCCTGGTGGCCCCACTTCCCATCGAGCTCCCTGCTTGTGGCCGGGAAAGCAGTAGGGGATGGCCCAAAGCCTTGGGTGCCTCAATCTGTGTTGAAGACTTGGAACAAACTCCTGGCTCCTGGCTTCAGATTGGCTCTGCTCTGCTTGTTGTGGCCACTTGGGGAGAGAACCAGCGGATGGAAGATCTTCCTGTCCTTCTTTACTCCTCTCTTTCTATCTGACTTTGCAATAAAAATGAATCTTAAAAAAAATTGATTTTGTTTAGAAGACAGAGTTACCCAGAGAGAAGGAGACAGAGAAAGTGGCTACAATGGCCAGAGCTGGACCAGTCCAAAGTCAGGAGCCAGGAAAAGAAAAGACAGAAAGAACTTCTGTCAGCTGGTTGACTCCCCAAGTAGTTGCAATGGTTGGAGCTGAGTTGATCCAAAGTCAGGAGCCAGGTGATTCTTCTGGGTCTCACACATAGGTGCAGCATCCTAAGGTCCTGGGCCATCCTCTACTGCTTTCCCAGGGCACGAGCAGGGAGCTGGATGGGAAGTGGAGCAGCTGAGACACAAGCTTGCACCTATATAGGATTCTGACCATTGGAAGGCAAGGATTCAGCTTCCAGGCCATTGCTCCAGGCCCTCCCTTTTCATTCTTACAACTCCAGAAGGTAATATTTATTATCATCATTTTACACTGCAGTTATTTACCTCATGTCACATTGCTAATAAATGATAAAGTAATAACTAGAAACTAAACCTTCCCTGACTCTAGTGTTAGCTTATAATCAGCACAACAGAAAGGGCATTCACTAGAGCCCAGTGCAGTAACCTAGTGGCTGAAGTCCTGGCTACTCTGCTTTCCATCCAGCCGCCTGTTTGTGGCCTGGGAAAGCAGTCGGGTAGTAGTGCATTATCAACCACCATGCTTTGCAGCTGGCATGAGCCTGTGAACTGCAATGCATTAATATCAAGGTATTAGCCGTCATCATTGAAATATCTTCAACATTCATGCATATTGAGATATTTCTGGTACTTCTATTCTGATAAGTGGTAAAAGAAAGACGTTGTTCTGTATATCCTTAAACAATACTCACAGTATTTAAATAACCAAAAAATTTTCACAAAAATTGTGCAAGTCACTCCTCTTTAAACATGCACCAGCGCATGGGAGCTCTGTCTCTCTCTCTTGTGATCCCAAACCTAGTGCTTTATGTGAATACGCCTGAAATATTTTTGTTAATCTTTATAATTTTTACACTAAAATAGAATATCTGTGCAAACTATCAGATCATAAAAACATGTTCTGAAGTTGCAATACAAGAACATCTTTATTAAGTATAGAATCTTTGCATTTTAAGATAAAACAAATGCCATGCTATATCTTTAAAATGATATTTTCTTTTAACATGTCTTATTGAAGATTGATTCCTAATGGCTTCTTTTTTTCTTTCTCTTTGAATTATTCTCAGGTTTCAAAGTTGGCTGTCACAGTGCAAACCTTGAGGTCCCGATGGGGGACTCAGGATCCAGACGATCTACTCTGGTGTCCCGTTTGCCAATATTCAGAAGGAGTATCAGCAGAAGGAATGACTCTCTTCCTTCCTCCCCCTCTTCCAGCAATACGGTTGGTGTCCACAGTTCCTCTCCTTCCAGCACGAACTCAAGCTCAGGAAGCACAGGTAAACGCAGAAGCATATTCCGTACTCCTTCTATTAGTTTCCATCATAAAAAGGTCAGTGAGCCTAAGCAAGAAGCCAGCAACCAGAACCTTAGTGTTTCCAATGGTGCTCAACCTGGTCACAGCAACACGCAGAAACTGGGCTTGGATGACCCTGTCAAAGCCAGGGGGAGACATTCTGTTGGTTTTCACAGTTCACGAAATAAGAAGATAACAAGGTCTTTGACAGAAGATTTTGAACGAGAGAAGGAGCACTCCACAAACAAGAATGTCTTTATAAATTGTCTAAGTTCTGGCAAAAGTGAGGGGGACGACTCTGGGTTTACAGAAGAACAAACTCGCCGTTCTGTGAAGCAGTCAACCCGGAAGCTGCTCCCCAAGTCTTTTTCATCTCACTACAGATTTTCTAAGCCAGTTCCACAGAGCCAGTCCGTTTCTTTGGTACAACAGCCTGACTTCTCTTTGGAGATTACAGAGTTGGAAGAGAAAGAACCTGTATTAGGAAGAACATCTCCATCTTGTTCTTTGGATGTTACGGAACGGGCAGGAAGCTCCTTACAATCTCCTTTGCTTTCTGCGGATCTTACCACGGCTCAGACACCTTCTGAGTTTTTAGGTTTGACCGAAGATTCCATGTCAGAAGCAGATGTATTTCCTAAAAGCGGAAGCCTGGCATCCCACTGTGACAACCTTGCCCCAAATGATTCTACCTCTATGATCTCTCGCAATCCTGCTGCTCTTACAAAGACGACGACAGATCTCCTGGGAACAGCTCCCTGTGCAGTCACGTCTCCTGGGAAATTCAGGTTAGAAGGTCGATGTAGCACCGAGTCTCATTCCGTCCCAGAAACCTCTGCTGCTAACCAGGAGGAAGTGTTACTGCAAATCACCGAGGTCCCTAGGAGGAATGCGCTCAACTCAGAGAACCGTCTGCCTGCAGATGCTCCAAGAGGGGAAGATGCAGCGGTACAAAATGGGGATGCAGCGCTGGGCACGAGCTCCCCCAGGAAGCGCGGCTTGTGTGAGCAACACAAAGCCATAGCTGAGCGTGTGAAAGGGATCCATCCGGTTTCAGATTCGAAGACAATACCCTCTTCCGGGGATCATCCCGTTTTTAACAAAACATCATATGGATATGAGGCAAATACTGCCAAAGGTATGTCTGTTTTCCTTGTTGGATAAATGAGATGAAATAATGGTTATTTTAATGTAGTTCATTATCTTGCCCCGTCTTGTGGATGGGAATCACTCTTCCTGATTGTACACTGTGAACATTTATTCCTATTCGGAGTTTATTTAAATAATCTTTCATGGAGCCTGATTTTAAACTTTTCTCAGTTGTGTTATGCTGAAATCGTAATTTAGTGACAGTATTCCTTTTGCTTAGTTGTATGACTCACATTCTGAGCAGAAGGAAGTAGATTGAAACCAATTCTATTTACAGTGCAGCTTTATCTAAAATAATGACAATCTTTTGGGGTTCATTATGGCAAAATTCTTTTTTTTTTAAAGATTTATTTATTTTTATTGGAAAGGCAGATATAGAGAGAGGAGGAGAGACAGAGAGGAAGCTCTTCCCTCTGAAAGCAACCTCAACAGCTGGAGATGAGCCAAACTGAAGCTAGGAGCCAGGAGCTCTTCCAGGTCTCCCACGCGGGTGCAGGGTCCCAAAGCCTTGGGTCATTCTTAACTGCTTTCCCAGGTCACAAGCAGGGAGCTGGAGGGCAAGCAAGGCTGCCGGGATTAGAACCGGCAACCATATGGGATCCTGCCACGTGCAAGGTGAGGACTTTAACCACTACACTATTGTGCCAGGTCCGGAAAAGCTGGCATTTTTTAGCTAATGAAGTGGATATGTTTTAACCAAAATGACTTTAAAAGTAAATTGTATACTTTAAATTGTATTTTCTGTGTTAATGGTTTAATTAGTGATCAGAATCCATGGATCAGCATAAATAATCCCTCTCCATAGATAGAAAAGGATTTCAAGATAAAAAATATCCCATCTTTGAAAACAAACAAAAAATATCCTGTTTTTGGAACCTAAAAACCTAATTGGGTTCCAGCTCTGCTGCTAAAATTAAATGAATGTGTAATCTTGGACATCAGCTCCCCCTTTAAAAAAAGAGAAAGGAATTGTGAGTGTGCATCATTCCAATGTGACTCAAAAAATTTTATTTGACATAAAATTCATCTCAAGAACATTTTGAACAGATACTGCGTTCTGGTGTTATACATTATTTTTAATTCTTTTATGCTATTATTACTACCCTCTGTTGTTACCACTGTTGTAATCACTGTTTTAAATACTACAACTAATGGGAATTCTCCCAATATTAAAAATGATTGTGACATCCCAGATACGATGCACACATTAATTTTAAGATGACTGAAATCAGTACCATGGTTGAAGGCTATAGTAGAAGTAAGAAAATTGGACCAGAGAGAAGATATATGTTCCAAATCACAAGGTGAGTGAGTAATTATGTATGCTGGGATGTTATCTCTTTCACATGTTCCATATCAGATCACAGGGTCATGCAGCTAGAAGGAAGCACAGCCTAATTACAACTATTGGAATCCCAAACTCAGGCTGTTAATCATGATGTTGCTTTATATTAGGCCCTAAACAAGCAAATAGAATTTAAAACAAATCAAATGGAAGAATATTAGGAATAATTGGATTATGAAACTTATTTAACCAGCCCCTTTATCCTGATGGCCATTTTATTTAAATGAAGAAAGTGACTTCCCTGCTGTCTTAAAATATTTTGCGAATTGGTACCAGATCACTGTAATGCACTTGGCTGCTTTTTCCTTTTGTAATTTTAACTTAGTAGATTTGTTCATACCCTTGACTTTAGCTATGTTTACATTTAGGTAAATTATAATAGTAATGATGATGAATATAGTTACATCTTTTAAGTGTACATTGAATGTATATATAATACACCAAAAAAACACATACGTGATTTTACTTTGTTGCTCACAAAATATGTGGCTGTTGATGGCATAAATTTAGGATTGAGTTAAATTTTTTTAAGAGTAATTTGTTTTGTATTGGAAAGTCAGATTTACAGAGAGAAGGAAATACAGAGAGAAAGATCTTCTGTCTGCTGTTTTACGTCCCAAATAGCCGCAATGGCTGAAGCTGAGCCAATCTGAAGCCAGGAGCCAGGAAATTTTTCATGTCTCCAATGCAGGTGCAGGGTCCCAAAACATTAAGCCATTGTCTGCTGCTTTTTCAGGCCACAAACAGGGAGCTGGATGGGAGTTGGAATAGCTAGGATATGAACTGGCACCCATATGGGGTCCTGGGAGATGTAAGGCAAGGATTTAGCCACTAGATGTCACTTTGGTTCGCGAGTTAGATATCTTTAAAAGGTCATTCTTTTCTTTTCTATTTTTTTTTTTAAACAATGGAAGGATGACTTCAGAGTGGATTCTGCATATTTTTAAAAAAGAAGTGTCAGGTAAAAAAGGAAGATGCAGTTTTCCTGATGGATCTAATTCTAGATAGCCATGGCCGCTTTTCTCAATGTCTGATTGAATACTATGTTTTTTTAATCTCCATGGAAACTAGGGAATGTCCACTCAGCCTGGTGACTATTCATGTGTTGGTTGTAATCCTAACTGTAAGTCGTTTAGCATGTAAATTACTTTGATTGAATTGACAATGTGTTGTGTATTCTTGGGCAAACTGAGTTATATTAACAAGGAAAAGTTGCTAGTTTCCTATCCATTGCTTCGTGAGAGTGTTTATGTGCGAGTTATGCAAACTTTATAATTCGGAAGTTTAAAAATTTAAAATCCTAAAATTTTAAGTAGCTGTATTCTATGCAAGAAAAGTCACTGTAGAAATTAAACTATAAAATAAAATTTATTTTGTGCTATAAAATATTAAAACTAGTACTTATTGCATATATGAATGTATTGGTTGTATACTTTTTCAAAACTAAATAGAAATAAGCTCCATTTTTTTTTGCATAAGACATTTGCTACTAGCTTGGCACTGTGGTTTCAGCCGGGAGCCATTAACAGGAGCCTGAACTGAGTAGCTCAGTCATTTATTCAACAAATGTCATTTTAGCACTGTTTTTAGCAGGAACGATGCAGGAGTTTACAAAGCAAACACCTTCCTTGTTTTTATGAAGTTTGCTTTCTAATGGTGATGATCAATTAACATGCAAACACTTCAATGTAAGATGATGATTACTGATAAGGACAAGGTGAGGCAGAGTAAGGGATTAGCAAGAGGGAGGTTAAGATTGTGGTTTGCATTTTTAAATATGATGGGCAGAGTGATGCTGAGAGTGCCATATTAGTCACTATTTAAGGGCCCTAGGGAGTGATACAGCTGACTCAAGGAAGTATGTTAGTATGTAAGAGCCGAACTCTGTGGGTCTGGGCACGCTGGGCCTGTCCCGGGACTAGTGTAAGATCCAGTATGCCATTAGCAGAATGAAGAAAAGGGGAAACAACAGAAAATGGGACTAGAAGAGTGGGCAGGTGAGCAGGAATGGCGTCAGGGCATGGATGGAGAGATGGGTCACAGGAGTGACGAGTCAGCCACGTGAAAGCATCATTTTTTTTTTTCAGATGTATTTATTTTTGTTGGAAAGTCAGATATACAAAGAGGAGCAGAGACAGAGAGGAAGATCATTCGTCTAATGATTCACTCCCCAAATGGCTGCAATGGCCAGAGCTGAGATTATCAGAAGCTAGGAGCCAGTAGCTTCTTCCAGGTCTCCCACACAGGTGCAGGGTCCTGAGGCTTTGGGCCATCTTGACAGCTTTCTCAGGCCACAAGCAGGGAGCTGGAAGGGAAACAGGGCACCAGGATATGAACCAGCACCCTCATGGGATCCCAGCACTTGCAAGGTGAGGACTTTAGCCACTAGACAGCTGTGCCAGACCCAAAAGCATCAACTTTTACATCTGGAAGCATAATGTTGGTGAATCCCACTGTGGTCTGAGTGTATTATTGTGGTTACCACGAAGAAAACGGGTTTTGTGGTGGGGAACGGTGTGCTGAGGGAGGTGAGATAAGGGAGAGGTGAGAGAAACCTGGGCAGCATTGTGATATTCTGTTAAGCATTGATGAGTTTGACCCAGGATCTTGGATTGGAAAGTAGCAGAAAGTGAGCAGACTCTGCGCACAAGAAGAAAGAAAGAAGAATGTGTGTGTGTGCGTTATGTGAGCCGGGACTAAACCACCGAGAGCTCCCACCATGTCAGGCTTTAAAGACAACATTATGAGCAAGCAAACTGCAGTGTCACTATGAATATAAAAGTTTTCTCATAATAAGAAAGTTCTGACTAACATTGTTTTACATGCTTTTACAATGGCACATTTATGAAAACTATTTGCATATTTATATCATATTTCTTTGTCTTTAAATAGTTCTTGCCAGTAGCTTCAGTCCTTATCGCGAAGGGAGATTTATAGAAAGGCGCCTGCGATCTTCTTCAGAAGGAACCGCTGGGAGCAGCAGGATGATTTTCAAACCAAAAGATGGGAACACAGAAGAAATTAATAGTTTGAGAAAGCAAAGAACGGGCTCCTCATCTTCAAAAATGAATAGTATGGTAAGTGTTTAGACATTCTTGTGTTAAGAAAATAATGCTATGTCTATGTAGCTTGCGTTTGCAAAATGAAGAGGCTGAAGGATATTCGAAGGGTAAGTAGATCTCCATTGTAGATATCCACACAGCAGAATGTTTTTTAAAGATTAATTTCTTATTTTTATTGGAATGTCAGATATACGGAGAGGAGGAGAGACAAAGAGGAAGATCTTCCATCTGTTGATTCACTCCCCAAGCAGCTGCAATGGCTGGAGCTGAGATTATCCATAGCTAGGAACCAGGAACCTCTTCCGGGTCTCCCACATGGGTGCAGGGCCCCAGGGCCCTGGGCTGTCCCATACCGCCCTCCCAGGCCACAAGCAGGGAGCTGGAGGGGAAGCGGGGCTGTCAGGATTAGAATCAGCACCCATATGGAATTCCAGCTCGTGCAAGGCAAGGACTTTAGCTTGTAGGCTACTGCTCGGGTCCAAGGTTAATGTTTTAAAGAAGATGTCAACAGCCCTCAATTTCTGTCTTCCTTCCATAGGAGGCTTGGTATTCTATGTTATAGATCAAGACTCTTGGAGATACGCAGGCTAAGAATAATAATAATCATGGGGCTACTTTTTGAGCCTCCCATTTTACACTATCTCTTCACTCCATAGCTACTGTGGAAAGTGTGCTTGGGTAAACTTCCATGATTATGGGAGCAGCAGCCTTAGACCCGGCAGTAGACCGTATTGTGACCATCCTCCCGCAGTTCACCTCCATACAGGGAGCTCATGGTGACCAAAGGCCAGAGCTCTTCTAGAGCTGGAACTCATTGAAGGCAAGTAAGAAACAGTATAGAACTGTTTAGAACTCTGTTTAGAACAGTATAGAACTCTGAAGTACAGAGCCTGGTTTTCTGCTGAGGGTGGAGGTGAGGTGTGTCAGGCTGAGTCTTCAGAAAAGGGGTGAACTTGTGCTTGTGGGCTGATCTGTCATAGCTGTGAAATCCCGTTATATCCCAAAACGGAGTTCATGCTGGGAAGACACGTGGCGTGGACGTGAACCTGGGGTTCTGCAAGGCTTCTGATCTCACAAATGCCAGCATGAGCTTCATTTGTCTTACTTCCTCACACAAGCCCTTTGTCAACAGTGAATTTGATATCAAAGTGTTTCTTTCAAATTATCTTGCTCTACTCCTACTCGTTAAGTGTTTGCTTACTCATCCTTAGGCATGTGGAAAAATGACTAAGAAAAGAAGCACCCGTAATTTATCTCTGTGTTATAGGTAACCAGGCTTCAGTGATGCAGTTAGTGCATTGATACTTGATTGTTTTATTGTTAGAACTCTTAGGGAAAGTAAAGAAATAGTACATGAAACAAAACTATTATGCTCCACATTAGAGATTCTACGTCCTATTTTGGCTTAACTATTTCTGAATCCTGGACAAATTAGTAGCTGTAAAGCAGGACATGTTAATGAACATCTTGTTTCCATTAAACTAAGAAATTTTTGTGTACATATGTGCATATACATGTTTTTTGTTTTCTTTTTCATTGGAATTATTATAGTATGTCAGGTGATACTTTTGTCTACCTAACAGAGTATATTAAAAAAGACTGTTCAAATAGCAGTGACTAATGCTAACGAAACATTAGGAAATACTAATCTTCAAAATTCTGTTTTACATAAATAAATAGATGATTACTTACACAACTGTTTATTTCACTTGCACAAAGATAAACTCTATTACATATTCTTTTGTACCTTATCTTAAAAAATATTTATTTGAAAGGGAGAGTGATGAAGAGGAAGTGGGGATGGGAGAGGAAGAGAGAGGGAAAGAGAGAGACCCACAGAAACATAAAATGTCAAAATACAGAAAGGTAACTTGTTCTTTGAGTGCGTGTTTATGAATTTCTACGTGTTCTTGCAGTGTTTGAGGTCTTCCACAAGATGGCAGGATCACATCATTGCCAAAAGTGGAAGCTTGGAGAAACAAACTTTTTAAAACTGTTACACATGTTCGGGGAATTTGCTGATAAAACCTTGTTGAAATAAATGTTGTCATTTTCTTTTGGATTTTTGCAATGTGGCTCATCCTTGTTACTTTCCTATGTGATGGTTAATTTAAAATACATGAAATATATTTTTACCCTAAGCAATGAAAGTCAGAAATGCTAGAATTCTAGATGTACATGAAACGTATGGGTTATATGTTTTAAAAGCAACACTTTTCTCTTCAGTAACTAACTGGATACTTTCCTTTGGATTATCCAAAAATTGTGGCAAATTTTTGGAAATGGGTTCCTTATTTGTTGGGACTTTCCATATTATGATAGATAAGTGAACCAATGTAAGGGCTTGTACTGGTTTTTCCAACAACTTTACAAAGTGAATGCTAACCGAAACACAGAACACTCTGTTCTGGAAAGGCGTTTTTTGTTTTGTTTTGTTCTGTGAGATGAGCAGTCAAAGTACAGACATAGTACAAGGGGGAAGCTCCTGAGTGGGTGAGACAGGGTGAATGTGGGTAAGTGGTACAGGGCCCTAGAATCCGGGGATGGTCAGGCATGGCTTTGCTTCTCCCACGGGCTGTTTGTGCATTGTGGAGGTGCTGGTGGGTCCACTCAGTGTCTGTGTGTAACCAGGGTTTTAAAGCAACCCCCACTGCAGACGCTGCCTTGCCTGCTTCCAGACATACAATGCTGTGAGCTGAGAGGGAATCTCCTCGCTCCTGTTCATGTGTTATTGATCAGATCTAATTACATGGCACAAAGCAGACGCCAGAGGCTCCAAGAAGCACCTTTCGTTCTGTGTATCTGGAACAAACCAGATGTGTTTGTTGGATATAAATAGTGAATTAAATGGGATTTGCTTCTTGCCCCTTTCTTGCTTCCTGCCCACAGTTACTTAATGGACACCCCCTCTGGTACCTCAAAATGCTGGGCATTTTGGTTGGAAAAGGTGAAAATAAGTGTACACTGGAGGATTCATGTTTGACCACCAGTTGGGATGTGCTTTCTTCAGCACTTACAGCCTTCACATGTGTATCTTAAATGAACTAAGTTAACTTTTGCACTTGATTCAAGGATTCCTGCTATGTATCAATGAGAGCATTTGGTGTTCTTAAATCACCAGTTTGTTTTAAACATTGTGCTATGTTTACTTAACTGAGTAAGAATATCCACAGAGATGTTTTGTACTGTCTATGCTGCATACTTGTGACAGCTTCCCTCTGATGGCCACTTTTCCTGCACGTGGCACAGTTCCTGTCATTTGCAGTCTTGGCATCCTGCTGCTTTTGTGTAGAAACTGTGAATGGTATGTTAGAAACAGAAGCCATGGGATTTCTTTGATAGAAGAACCAACAAGATTTATATTTGATGAAAAAAGAAAGTAGTTAATTGCAGATCTTTAGTATCTCAAATCATATTTAAATTTCTTAGCTTACTGATATCTAGAATTTAGAAAGTTTTGGCAAGAATTGAAGAGTGTAAGCCTAAACATTACTTGAAGTTTGCTGGACACTTTTATGTGTACATTTTTCTGCCTGGGTCTTGTTGTTTTCTCATGAGTTGATTTATAAATACCAATTCTTCACTCATTAATCTGCTTGGAGTTTCTTTCAGTAAATATCTTGGTGAGAGATACTCTGTATAGCTGAAACAACCTTTGAGATTTTTGAGTCAAAATAGGGAGCTATTAGAGTTAGATATAATCTTTTCACTGCAAATGATTTAATTGTGGCGAACATCTGTATTTTCAGAATAGGCAAGGCACTCTCAATTTTGATGTTAACATCAAAACTTAAGAGTTTTCAGAATACAAGGAATAGTCCATTGTTTTGTATGTTTATTGGAGAATGGATTTAAAAATTTAAATTCTTGGTCAGATATAGGTAAGGCAAGATTTTGAAACTTTTCTACATAATTATCTTGTGCAACCCAAGATAATTAGAATAGAATTACCAGAATTATTACTGTCCATTTGTGTGTTGTTCACATGGGAGTGTGCTTGGCACACGTTTATTTCCTATGTAATTATATCATTGAACTATCTAGCCAATATCTCTTTGCAGTTAACAGATTAAAAAGACTAAGATTGCTTACCTTCAGCCCTTGGGCTGTAATCGTATTTCCAAGTGGATCAGCTTTATCTCCTGGTGTTCTATGAGAGGACTGTTGCCTGCTTCTGTGTTTAGGTAGACTGGGGATGGCACAGCTCCACAGCACCAGAGGGAGTAAGTATTGATTCGTTTTCCTTGAAAAATTTCTGACCCTCTGAATAATGGCACTATCAATAGCACAGAATTGACCTTGAGGTAGGTTCTGTGTCCTGATAGGATAGTTACTGAGATCGGAAGTATTTACATTTGTGTAGTTGGACCATGAGGACAATTTATTTTCCTTAGAAATTCTATTTTGAAATTTAAATTTAGCAGCAGCTTGCTAAATAAATATAACACATCAGATACATTTTAGTAAAATAAGTTAGCAAAACAAATTTTGTCTTCCGAAGAAACATTATTGCAGTTTATAAAAATATAGGAATCTTTCATTTGTAATAGTATTTTTCACTAAGTTAAAAATGAAGCAGAACAGTGATAGTTTCCTCAACCATAGTGTTTACAATGTCACTGTAAAATGCATGATTTGTACATAAATCATTCATAATCAGTTGCACGGTTTTCTTAGGTGATGATACTTTGTTTAAACTAGCCTCTTCTACATTAGATAACTATCATTTTAATAACTTCAATTCTGTAATATAATTGAAATATAATTTCATTCTAGTGTGAAATATATGCTTTGAAATTCATTTGTTTATTTCTTTATCGGTTTTTGCCTGTTACAGCCAACCTAAGACAGTGAAGTACTGAAGGTTTGCGTTTCCTCTTTTGGGCTCTTTATTTTATGGATTTTTAGTTACTCATAAAATTATTATTTTTATATACTTAACTTATTTTCTGAAACACTGTTCATTGATTAGCTTATGTGTCATTGAAAAGCATATAGAATTGTGTTGCCAGGAG